TCACACATTCTGCCATATTTTATTTCCCCAAAGGTGACCACACCACCAGCTTAATTTTTTTCTGCTTTCATGCCATTCAGTGCTACTTAAGAACATGTTGAAAAAGGTCATTTAATTTCATTGAAATTTCTTGCAGTTCAACTTAACCAGGTCTTTTCCGTTATTCGATGAGTATTCTTCCATAACTGAATCATTATTACATTCCCTGCAGTGCCTAATTCCCATATTTACGCTATTCTCTTGCCCAGAATTTGAATCTCTTCATTCTCTGAAGATCACTTTGCCCCCTCCTTAGAAGACTGAATTTATCTTATGTGAGCTCCACTTATGCCTCGCTTCTCCACACCAACCTTTCTCCAACTTCATCTGTTTCATCTTCCCTTTCCTAAGAGGCATTATAACATCTTCAGTCACACCCTTGATCCCATCTCCTCCTGCCTCCTCGGAGATGTTATTCTATTGATTATCCATTTTCCCTTCAGCCTGCAGTCTCTCTCTCTGCCCAAGACACTCCTATCCTGAAAACAACCACAAAACAAATCTGTCTTCAACTCTGCTTATCTCTCAAATTTCCTTTCTGCAAATTTTTTGAAAGTGTATTCCTTTTCTCTTCAACCTAATCTTTAACTCCTAACAATTTAGTTTTATCCTTATCACTCCATTGGAACTAAACTCGCATAAGTCACTGGTATATAATCTACTGGTAACCAAATCGAATGGCCTTCCTCAACCACCTCAACCACTCTCTGTAGCATTTGACAGCGTTGATGACACTATCTTTCTGGAAACCAGAAGTGTTTCCAGAATCCTGATTGGAGTCTTTTGTCCCCATGCTGTTTCTTTGACTGAAAACTTGAACCTTTATTTCGTTGGCTGCAATTTCCCTTGCCCAATTTCCTTATTGTAGATATTCTCCCAGGAATTTTTCTCCATATACTCTCTATAAACTCCTTTTCTGAAATTTTTATGGTTATAAACATCTCTTTTGTGTGAATAGCTCTGAAACCCACTAATCCTGAATTACAAGCCTCTATTTCCTGTTTTGGCTGGACTTACTCATATTTAAATTCTACTAGTATGTCAAAGACAACAGGTCCAGAATAGAATCCATTTATTTCTCCTTCTCCAACCTGTATTTTTCTATTTCCCCCCTTCAGTTAATGACATCACTATCTCTCCTGTTACCTAGAATAAAACATTGGTATTCCCTTGGACCCATGATTTCCTTACTCTCAGAGCCATGAATGCTCAAACCCTCATAGGTATGTGCCCTGCTAGCCCTTTTAGATACATTGCAGCCAGACTTACATTCCTTAAGTGTGATTATAAATTATTCCCCTGCCTAACAACTTCCTATCCCTTACAAAACAAAATCCAGACCTTAGCATGGCATTCATGGTTGTTCACAGCATGGCTGCAGCCTACCTGTCTGATTCTAGTTCTCAATGCTACACTGAACACAAGGCAGGCTGAGTTATTTGCTATTCTCTGTACTCACCTTCAGATTCCTGCCCTGAGGCTTTGCTCAAGCTGTTTCCCCAGTCTCCAATATCCTTCTCCACTCCCACCCCCCCGGTTCTTGGGCTCTAAATTCTACTCGTTCTTCAAATGCTACCTCCTTAAAGCTTTCTTTGATCTTCACAACTGGAAGAAACATTTCCAACCTCTGAATTTCAATTAAATTTTGCTAATATAGCCAAACTAGCTTTCATTTGCTTAGTGTTTAGGTGAAATTTTTTTCCTGTCCTTTTACTTGTAATCTATCTGTGTCTTTATGTTCATAAAATGCATTTCATGTAAACAACATGTAATTGGGTCTTGGTTTTTTCTCTATTCTGTCAATCCATTCCTTTTAGTTGTGTTCTTTAGTCCGTTTATATTTACTGCAATTATTGATATGTTTAGATTTAGGTCTACGAGCTTGGTGTTTTAATTCTATCTCTATTATTTATTTTTTTGGTCCTCTATTCCTCCTTTCCTATCTTTCTTTGGGGAGTGGTTAACTCATCAATTTTTTTTAATAGTCTATCTCCCCTAGTTATGCCTCTTTTCATGACTTTGTGCTTTAGTGGTTACTATAGTGATTGAAATATGCATCTTTATCACGTCACATTCTATGTTTAAAGAATTACTTCAAGAAAGATCTAAGAATTCTATGACAATCTATTTCCAATTTTTAGCCCTCACTGTTTGTGCTCTTGTTTACTATAACTTTACATTTATATGCTATAAACTCCATACTCTTTTATTACTATTTTTCTTCAAAGAGCCCATAGTCTAAAGAGATTTTGTCATACATATGTACAAAAATTAGGAATATTTTTAAAAGATTGTTTTAATTTATTGAACTATTTGCATTTTATAATGTTTCCATTCCTTCTTATAGAACCAGATTTCTAGCTGATATTTTCCTTCAGCATTTAGAACTTCTTTTAGGATTTCTTGTAGAGTAACTCCGCCAAGGATGAATTCTTTCACCTTTTGTCTAGTTAAAGATGTCTTTATTTCACCTTCACATTGAAGGATATTTTTACTGAATATGGAATTCTGAATTGACATGGTAGTGGGTATTTTTTTAATGGTAGTGTTTTTTTTTTCTTTAAACATTTTTAAAATGTCATTCCATTGTTTTCTGTCCTCCATTTTTTTCTGATGAGAAATCATCTGAAATTCTTATCATAGTTTTCTTATTCTCTTGTATATATTGCCTCTGTTTTTTTCTGACTGCTTTCAGCCCTGTCTTTGGTTTTTAGAAGTTTCACTGTTATGTGTCTAGTTCTGTTTTTCTTATTTATCCTGCTTGGATTTCTCTGAGCTTCTTGGATATGTCATTTGTTGTCTCAATTTTAGAAAATTTCAGCCATAATCTCTTCATTTTTTTCTTTTGCTCCATTTTTTTCTCTTCCTTCTGGGATCCACTTACATATATCTTGGACCATTTGGTCTATTCTGCTTTGTTCTTCATTCTTTTTTCTCTCTGTGTTACAGTTTGCATAATCTCTTTTGACATGCCCTTAAGTTTACTGATTGTTTCTTCTGCTGTGTGGGCTTCTGCTGAAAGTCCATCAAATGAATATTTCATCTCTGATATCATGTTTTTTATTTTAGCACCTCCCATTGGTTTTCTTTAATAATTTTTATCTATCTGCTTTCATCTCTCTGCTTTAATTTCCCTGGTATTCACACAAGCTGTCACCTTTTCCTCTAGATCTTTTAATGTATTCATTACAATTATTTTAAATAATTATTCTTAAATATTAATTAAAATAAGTATTTTCAAAATAATTATTTTAAAACCCTGATAATCCCAATATCTAGGCCGTAACTTAGGTTATATTTAAGATTGTATCTGATGATGGTGCATCCTATTTTCTTTCTGTGTCTGCTTTACAATTTTGATTTAATGCTGGACATTCTGTGTAAGAGAATAGTAGATTCTGAGGTAAATTATACTTATACTCAGAAACGGGTATGCCCCATCTTCTGTCGGGCTGTGAGTATAATTGGCTGTGTCAATGTAGTCTGTAATTTAGCAAGGTTTGGATCTTCTCTTTGCTTTAGTTATGTTCAATGCATTACAGGCTTTAAATTGCCCCAGTGGTAAATTGCCCCTGCCTTGTACTTAGTGAAAGGCCTAGAGCCAAAGGGCTCCTCCCAGTTCTCCTGCTATATTCTTAGACTCTTGTGGGCCCTACATGCCTGCAACAGAGAGGGAGTCCCTCTTAGTGCTCCCACCCCTCCTTCAGCAATAGACCGCTTTTATCTGGGACTCATTGCATGGCCTAATTCTCCAGCTTGACCCTCAGATTTATGCAGGTCCTGTGTTCCTGAACTGGTGAGAGTTTCTATCAAGGCTCCTGCCTCTCCCTAGTGTTGGACTGTTTTGGGTGGGAGAGTTTATATACACAGACGCTGCATGCCTGCATCTCAGAAGGGTTCACACTCGGCTGTCCTGCCCTTTTCTCTGTGGCAGACAACTGTTGTCTCCTATTCATGTAAAGTTGGAGGGTGGGAGGTTTTCTCTTGAGTCTGCTGATCCACCCTCAAACTTAGGCAGTTCTTTTAGTTCATTAACTTACCTTGCAACTTTGAGTCTCCAGTGGACAAAAAATATTATTCTGTTGGCTATTTGATTTGCTTTCATTGTTTAGGTGGGAGCAACGTTTCTTATAACTTTCTATATCCTAGACAGAAGCAGAAGCTCCCTATTGCATTTTATCCTTAACTCTTGCTTAGATTTGATTCTCTCAGAAACAAATGATAAAAGAATGATTTGAGTTCAAGTAGTTTATTTGGGAGACGATCTCAGGAAACCCCAGTAAAACAGAGGGAGGGGAGACAGGGCAGAGAAGGAAGCCTACACAGTGTGTTAAGGAGTAACTGTGGTGCAATCCCAGTGGGGCCATCTGGAAGACTGTATGGAACCAGCCTTAAAGAGGAAGCTGGGTATTTAACCACTAACTCCCATCTGTAATTGATTAGTTGCCCTGCCTGTGGGTGGAGACTGTTCTAGGTCAAAAAAGACAGAGAACAAAGGTGCTTGCAGTAGAAAGTTGTTGACATGAGGGAATGTGGGTGGGCACAACAATATCTGTTAAACTCTCCAATGACACTTATTACTTTATTTCTCAGACATGCCAGTATACTAAAGCCTGATGTTATTGAGCAAATGATTCATAGCTGATTTAGCTTTGTATTCTCCCAGCATGGGGAACAGTCAGAAGATAATCAATCAATATTTATTAAAGTACCAATATGTAGAATTCTGGTTAGCTCTTCTTTATTTCCTAAACTCCTCCCAAACCCACATCCTCACCCTCCCCCGCCCCTCAGATAACGTAATTTGCTCTCTTAATTTGTCAAAAAGGCTAAATTCATCTGACTGGTTGGAATTTTTACAAAATCATATTGATTTTCTAGCTAATTTGAATGTATTATGATTTGAAAATATAATTTCCAAATGTGAACTTTATCTAACAGATATTTTATACTACTTGCAGCCAACAATGATAAGACGTCCACCAACAATTGTTTGCTACATTTGTGGTCGTGAATATGGAACAAGATCAATTGCCATCCATGAGCCACAATGTCTGAAAAAATGGCATAATGAAAACAACTTGTTGCCTAAAGAGTTAAGGAGACCAGAACCTAAAAAACCAGAAGTCAGGACCATTACCGGTAAGTTTTTGGAAAAAAAGACTTGAGTGCATAAGGGGAGACTTTTCTCTCTAAACTTATAAGAGTAGAGATATTCTTTTCTTATTTGTTTAAGCAACTGAAATCAGCAACATTTACTGTCTCGGCTACAGCCAAATACAAAAAACGGTTCTGGAATGCCTGCCCAAAATGTTGTCTTCAGATGCTGAGATATAAAGATACTACGTGCTGGAAAAATTGTGCAAGAAGAGGGGGCCACTGGAATTTGCTATATTTCCCAAAAATTACTTTCATGTATTATCAAACATAATACTTAAAAAATGTAAAGCTTAAAAAACTTTTGGGGATATCTGGAAACATGTTTTCAAATACAAATGTGTCTTAGTGTTCGTAGAGCAGGGGTACCAAAACCAAATGCTTACAGAGTCCCCTAACCAGGTTATGAAATTGAATAAACTGGTCCAGGTATGAAAAAAGGGAAGTTGGGGACTATGGTGAGCTGAGAGCACCAGCTCTCTCTCCAGTTCCAGCTGGTGTTATTCATTAAGACATTTAGCCTAGTGTGGTCATACATTTCAATAACACACAAAAAAACTGGAAATCTAGACATCTATATGAAATGTCCAGGTTTTTAAAATTTTGCAATTAATACTTTGTAAAGCACTGCATGAGCTAAATGAAACTGAAACTCCATAAACTGCCATGTGTGGTCTCTTTACAAGCTTCATGCTTACTCATTTAGGATATGAGAATAAAGTAGTTCAGAGAATATTTTTGCCATACAAGCTCAGACTTGCTGGTCACATTTCTACTATTGTCATTTTCTCACTTGAGCCCCTGATTCCTTTCAAAGGAAAATCTTTCTTGGTTTTAGGAGGAGTAGCTAATTGAATTCAATTCATTCATTCTTCTTATGTAGCTATAGATTTGCAGAGCCAGGAGGTCATTTAGTATCAATTAGTCCAAAGCACTCTTGTTAGAGATGTGACCCAAAGAGAGTTTTATAGCAACCCACAGAATGGAATCCGATTTGTCATGGTAAAGTTCTAGATGCTGCTAGCACTCAAACTATTCAGTCTTTGCTAAGAGGAGGACTCTGAATACAGATGGGTAAAGAGCTCAAGATGAAAACATCCATCTATTGAAATTAGAACATTTGCCCACAAAGAGATTGTTTACCTCATTAAAACTCTCTTCCCAGCAATTCTCATTTGGTGTCAAAACTGTGTTTCCTTTACTTCTGATCTTTATCGCTTTCTCTGCTTGAGCATAATTATCACACATCTAGAAGAGGTGAGAGAAACTACTAGTTTGAAAGCCCAGGTAGGTTCATTTTTCTGTTATTGCCTACAGATGGAACAGGTAGGTCCTATCACTGCACTTCCCTGCAATTTTCCTCTTGGCCTCATGCTATTTTTATTTCTGAAGGTGCTCTTTCTCACCAGGCCCAGAGAACTCCCATTACCATTTCCATCCCATGGACTTACTGTGGTTGCAGAGTTCAAATTACCCTTCCTGCAGATCCAAGGTCAAAGGCTTATGCAAAAACTTAGAAATGTGATGAATCATCTATAAGTGAGAATCAATGAATACTCTGGAACTTCCGAGTCTGTATTAAAACTCATAAGAGTAAGGAGAAAGTCAGCGCCATTCCTTTTCACGAGTTTTCAAAGCACTCAAACTACACATTTGTATCCTACATAGAAAGTCGTACTTGCTTTATCCAAAGGAGAAATTCTGGGTTTGCTGGTTTTTAATTTCCCATGGAGCAAATAAAAGAACATTAGGAATGGGCATGTTAAGGAATCTGAGGTTTGCTATGCTTGTGTGAGCCATTAGACAGAAATCGTGTAATAGCCTGGGCTTTAATGAAAAAATATGTGCTGTGAAAATGATTAAAACTGTGTTATATATTTTTGAGTGCCTGGCTACATTTTGGGGGGCCTATTTGGGGTAATTCTAAGACATAGTTAGTTTAATGTACTAAAGTCATGCTATTTAAATAAGGTTTATTAAAGCTAAATCCCACACTGTTTCTCTAAAATAAAGCCATATGCTTTTTTTCCTATGCTCTGCCAATGAAGATTATACGTCTCTCAGCGATCTTTGCTGTTTTCTTAAGGACACTTCTCATCAGATTGACTAGTCTGTTTGTATTCTTCACTTTAATGATTTAAAGAATCTTCGAGTTTATGGCCATAAAGAGATTATAAATTTTTAGGATATAATTCATCTTAAATTCACTCTCAACTGTCAGTTTTGGCTTCTAAAAACATTCCACTGAAGGATTACAGAAGAGGAAAATACAAATACATGTTCTTTTCCTTTTGTAAGCTTATATTTAGAGGCAACTGAAAGAAGGCCAAAAGTTATATTTGCAAGATAATAATGTGTAAGCAAAGATGTTAATAATTAGTGAAGAATGCATGTCATAACACATAAAACAATATCTTCCCCTTTTTAAAATCCAAGGAGTGAAAAATCTCTGGTTCATAGCTAACTTTACTCAACCTTTGGGTGAGCAGCACTGTTTTTTTGTTTTGTTTTGTTTTTTGGGGGGCAAAAGTAATAGGATTTGTTTAAAAGCCTCAGTCAACAGGTATTTACTGATAATATTTTCCATAAAGTAGAGTATGGTTCTCCAGAATGAAAATTGATCCATTTTACCATTTTCTTTTCCTTTTCTTTCTTTTCTGTTCTTTTTCCTTTTTTTTTTTTTTCTTTAACTTTCCAGCCAAAGGTTTCTACGATCTTGATGCCTTAAACGAAGCTGCTTGGACAAGTGCCCAGAGTCAGTTGGTTCCCTGTATTATTTGTGGGCGTACTTTCCTGCCAGACAGACTGATTGTTCACCAACGATCCTGTAAACCAAAAGTCACCAAGTAAAGCCCTTTCTCCCTGCTGAAGTGTTAGAGCAATTACATTCTTCTGAAAGAGATTGTGATATGGTGGGAAGGGAAAAAAGGAGCCAAGGAGAGGAAACAAAGAAAACTGGAATTGACCAAAGGCTGTCTAGCACAGGAAGCCCAGCCCAGTGCTCTGGTGGCACAAGTGTGACCACTGTGTGATGGGTAAATGTTCTGCTTTTAACAAGTGCTGCGTGCATGTGCATAGACACACTGCGGGGCATGCATATCACACTTTTGTCAGGCAGAATTATAAGTGGGCTGTGCCTCAGCAGAGCTGGCATTTTTGTCTCAAGGAAATTTCAGAGCCAATTGTTGTCATTTTATTTCCATTCTATTTTCCCAAACAAGATTTTCAACTCACAATTAGGACTATTATTCAATGAACAGAGGCTTTGGGTGGTCACTTCAGGCAAGTCCTTAGTCTCAAGAAAAATTGGATTCCTTCCAATCCCTGTGCTTTCTGAAATAACATGCCACTCCCTGCTTCCTCTGATCCAGGGAAATGTTTTTAATTGAGTTCTTAATTGGGAATCTTCTTTACTCTATAAAATTGTGTAACAGGAGAGACGTTGAAAAAAGAGCTAAGGACTTAAAGTACTAAATCCATATGTAACTCTACTCCCTTACTAATAGTGAGAAATGTTACAGAGAGATTTCAGAATTTGTGCCAGCTTCCTATGTCAGAGATTGCTGCAATGCAATCCATAAAATGGGATGAGCCTTGCTCCTTCCTTCTACAGGAGAAGACCAGCAAGGGTTCTCTCTGCCCTCATAGGGGCTTATATGTGTTTCATTGTTGAGGGATAAAAGCTGCCAGGAAGTTCTGTGCCTCCCCACCCAAGGCCCATGCACAGTAAGTTGGTTGTGAGACTGCTCTGTATTTTAGAGTCCTTGAACGTGTATTCACAGAGGTGGGGCTCTCCTGGGAGGATGCCAGGCCCAGGGAGATGCTCTGCCCAGGAAACTCTGCTCCCCCAGGCAGTGCTACTTTGTCTGGACTCCCAGTGGTTTTGCTTGAGATCTTTGTTCATTTTATGGCTGAACTTCAGGGCAATTCTGGATCCTCTGGGTTCCTGCAAGCCTCGCATTCATGACCTTACACAGCACAGTTTGCTCCAAATTATATAAGCAAATTTATTTGACCTAATATTTTGGTCATACATCTATATATTATAAAAGTTTAGGTTAGGATAATGATGCCAATCATTCAGTTTTTCCTGCCTGTTCTAAAGGAAGCAAGAGATGAGCTTTTAAAAAAGTCTTTAGATACCCTCAAATAAGATTATCATCTTGTGAAAGACTAGCAGTTAATGACTCATAGTTGATGGTTCAGTTCTTTTATTTTGCTAACAAAAATGACAACAACATCTAATAACTCACACATCTGTGAGTGTGCTGTGGGTCAGGCACTGTGCTTAGTGCTTCCTATACGTCAGTCTACATAAATCTCACATCACCCCTACAAGTAGATATCATTATCCTTATTTTACATGTGAGGAAACTGATACATAGACTAAATAGCTAACTCAATGTCACACTGAACTTGAGGTAAGAGATGGAGTAGGGAAGCAAACTCAGGACTGTTGGTCTTCCAAACCCATAACCTTTCCATTGCCGTTTGTATGCTAGACATCATCATTAATAAGATTAACTATACTAAGGCCAATGATCTGACAAATGTGAAAAGTTTTGTACAACATTTAGTAACTAAGGCAAATGGGAGTCTTAGCATGCTTGCAGTTCAGCTGCTCGTCTGGGTTTACCTTTTTTTTTTTTAATTTTTTGTTTATTGCAGTAACATTGGTTTATAACATTGTATAAATTTCAGGTGTACAACATTATACTTCTATTTCTGCATGGATTA